ACGCTTTTGGTCCTGTGTGAGATCTCCTGATGTCTGCAAAGACTGGACTTCACTGAAAAAAACATTTCCCGCACTCAGGAACAGGAATACGGCTTCTCCCCTGTGTGACATCTTCTGATGTCTGTAAAGATGAAGGCTTCTGTGAAAAACACTATTCCCGCACTCAAGGACATGAATATGATTTTTTTCCCATCGTGTGAAACGTCTGATGTTTCATAACATCTGATTTATGTCCAAAACGTTTTCCCACACTCAGCACAGGAATATGGCTTTTCCCCTGTGTGAGACCTCTGATGTGTGGCAAGTTGTTGATTTAAGTGAAAAACATTTCCCGCACTCAGCACAGGAATACGGCTTCTCACCTGTGTGAGTCCTCTGATGAGTCTATAAAGAACATTTGTGACTTCCCTGAAAAACATTTCCCCAGCACTCACATAAGGAATAATGGTTTTCTCACCTGTGTGAGTCCTCTGATGAGAATAAAAATCGGAGCTTATTCATTTCCCGCACCAGGTGAATGTGGCTTCTCTGTGCAATCTCTGATGTTTGTAAAGATTGGACTTCACTGAAAAACATTTCCCGCACTCAGGGACAGGAAATGTGGCTTCTCACCTGTGTGAGTTCTTTTATGAACTTTAAGATGAAATTTAAATTGAAACATTTCCCACACTCCAGTACAGGAGAAGCTCTTCCCTGTTGGAAGGCCGGCCCAGTCCCGCACAGTCTGAGGGTCCTCAGGATACGAGGATTCCGATGGTCCATCTACACTGGGTGGTGCCGGATGGACATTGGAGGGAGCCGGTTTTCTCTCCTGGACTATACTGTGTGATGTCCTCATCTTCTACTTTCCAGTCTGGAGACAAAGTGAGACAATCCTCGGAGGTTTTCCTCATCTCCCGGCCATGGACTAAAATACAAAGACAAAGACGATTACTAGACAGGAGGCCCCACCAGAGGTCAGAGATGTGAGGATGGGGGGAGGGGGACCAAGAGGGAGACTGGACTGGTCCTGAAGACCACCATCATTGGGCTATTAGCTCCACCCCCATTATCACTTTCTGGTTGGAAAAATGTGATCACATTATTATCACTATGTAACAGTCTGTGCTTCCAATCACATCATCCAATAAAATGGTCCAGCTGGTAGGAAATGGGGGGAACAGAGGAGAAGACATATTATGTGTATATATAGGAGTGGTGTGGGGGGAGGGGGGAGAGCAGAAGTCAGGAGTATGTAATGTACAACGTGGAGTATATAGTGCTCTCTCACTTTCCAATAAAGTCTCTCTAGTACCCGGTATGTGAGGGGCGGCTGAGAAGTCCATCATGACGTCCTTGTAGAGGTCTATGTGGTCCCTTAGAAAGGATCATCCCTCCATACTCCTCATCCTCTTTTCTTAGTCTGTTCTTTACAACAATATTATAATCTCTGAGGTTTTCACTCTAAATATATAATAAAATGTTTATTATAACAAGAAAGCTTGAGAACAATTCACTGATAAGTTGTGATTTGTACACAATCTACCTGATGGTGAGAGGATGGTGTGACCTAAATCCTGTGTGGAATCCTCGGGTGGGAATAAAAGGACGGGTGACATCACTCTGCTGGGTTCTCATACTGGATCCATCTACCTGATGATGGTGAGGGATGGTGTGACCTTCCTGTGTGGAATCCCTGGGGAATACAGAGGACGGGACATCACCTCTGCAGGGTTCTCAGACTGAATCCATCTACCTGATGATGGTGAGGGATGGTGTGACCTTCCTGTTTGGAATCCCGGGAATACAGAGGACGGGGACATCTCTGGTTGGGTGGGTTCCCATGACGTAGCGATCCATCTGTAGGAAACACAAACACTGACTGAATCCATTGTCTTCTATGTGTTATATCAGATGATGGGGATCTAGGTGGATCCTCCGTACTGCTCTCTCCTTTCCAAAAAATCTCCTCTTACCCGGTGATGTGAGGGGGCGGGGCTGATTGTCCATCATGACGTCCTTGTAGAGGTCCTTGTGTCCTTCTAAATACTCCCACTCCTCCATGGAGAAATAGGACTGTGACACCCTGACACCTTATAGGAACCTGACACACACAATGATACAGTCACCATCCAGACACATCCCTTGTCTGTTACTGGAGAATGTCCCAGAATTCCTGGCACCGCTCACCTCTCCTGGTCAGCAAATGGACCATCATGGTGGTCAGTTCCAGGATCTTCTGCTCTTTGTTCCTCTCCGGTATCGGAGAACGAGATGGGAGGAACCATGGTGGGGGCTCTGGGTCCTGCTCAATCCTCCTGAGATTGGCTCCCCACTAGACTCTTCTTCACTACAACATAATCCTACAGATCAGGAGAAAGAGAAACCGATATCAATCATCTGACATCATCTACATGTCTACAAGAAGAACATGATCTATTGGCCAGACTAGAGACCAGAGTGATGTCATGTGACCTCCCAGAATCCTCCTCACCTCTCTGGTCAGGTCTGTTTGATGTCATGTGACCTCCCAGAATCCTCCTCACCTCTCTGGTCAGGTCAGTTTTATTAATAGAGATGAGAGTGATGTCATGTGACCTCCCAGAAATCCTCCTCACCTCTCCAGTCAGTCAGGTAGATGATCTCCAGGGTGAGGTTTAGTATCCTCTCAGTGATCTGAACTTCCGGTCCTCCTCCATCCTCATTCGTGTGGGTCATGTGATCTATGCGGGTTTCTTCTGTAGATGGATAGCAGATGTACTTAGTGTACACTCACACAATTTAATGGCAACTAACCAGGGCGTGGCCCTAGTCTTGGAGTAAAGAGGGAATACTTTGAATAATACTGACTGGCCATGATAACCTTTTCACAACCCGCACTACCTCTGGCTAACCACTAGAGGAAGACTCCCATCCAATCCAGCTGGCTGACCACACACACAGGCAGATACGAATCTTACATACAGTCTGGTGCACTCTAAGGGTTGGGGAGCAGTCTAGCAATCACACCCTTCTAGGATTCCTCCAGTTTACCTTACAATGCGCGAACTCCAGTGTTTATCACTCTTCCAATGACAATGGAGGAAGAGGACAGACGTGACTAGGGAAGAAGAGGATGGACATGACAAATGACGATGGAGGAAGAGGACGGACATGACGATGGAGGAAGAGGACAGACGTGACGGTGGAGGAAGAGGACGGACATGACGGGAGGTTACTGGGTATAAATAGAAAATAACTTCTTAATACCTCCTCTACTGCCACTTCCAGCAGTCTCCTCTATTTTGCGCCTCATGAAACTTCCTGTCTTTGACCAACATCACTTCCTGTCTGTGGCTGACATCACTTCCTGTCTGTGGCTGACATCACTTCCTGTCTGTGGCCCACATCACTTCCTTTCTTCCATAGAGACTTATTTAGCGCTTTGTGAAACTCAGAAGAACTGACCCCTGAGAAGCGTCTCGTAGTGTGAACACGGCATTGGGTTACGCTTTTGGCATTTTGAATGTTTTCTTGTCCTATTTTGCCCTTAAATATCCTTTGTGGGAAGGTGAAGGCATGGGGGCATCCAACCTGATCCATATGGTGCCGTTTGGGATATACAATCCTCCATAAATTAGCAGCAATTTTTCAATGTCTCAAGAGCATGGAGGAGATTCCAAGAGACAGGCAGTTACTCTAGGAGAGCTGGACAGGGCCGTAGAAGGTCCTTAACCACTTGCCTACCGGACACTTATTTACCAGGCCAATTTTCAGCTTTCAGCGCTGTCACAATTCGATTGACAATTGCGCGGTCATGCAAGATTGTACCCATATGAAATTTTTATCATTTTTTTCTCACAAATAGAGCTTTCTTTTGGTGGTATTTACTCCCCGCCGGGCACTTTACTTTTTGCGCTATAAACAAAAAAAATTTGAAAAAAAAAAAAGTTTGTTTCTATTATAAAATTTTTCACACAGGTAATTTTTCTCCTTCACTGATGTGCGTTGATGAGGCAGCACTGATAGGCAGCACTGAAGGGCACTGATAGGGGGCACTGATAGGCAGCACTAATGAGATGTCACAGATAAGCGGCACTGATAGGTGACACTGATGATGGGTACTGATAGAAAGCACTGATAGGTGGCACTGACTGGCATCACTGCTGGGCACTGACTGGTGGCACTGCTGGGCACAACCGCTGGGCACTGACTGGCATCACTGCTGGGCACTGACTGGTGGCACTGCTGGGCACAACCGCTGGGCACTGACTGGTTGCACTGGCAGCACTGCTGGGCTGCACTGATGGGCACTGGTGGGTGGCACTGGTGGGCGGGCACAGGTAGGTGGCACTTCTGGGCACAGGTGGTGACACTGCTGGGTGGCACAGGTGGGGGCACTGCTGGGCACAGGTGTGCGCACTGCTGGGCACAGGTGGCCAGAACTGGTGGGTGGCACCGATCATCAGGGCACTGATCATCAGTGCCGATCCCTGCTCTGACAACTGCCGGTTCTCGGCAGTACTTTCCTCACGTTCTTTACACTACACTTTGTTTTTTTGTGAAGGAGTAGCGGGACCATGTACCGCAGACTCCTTCACGTGGGGGGGGGGGGCGGGATCTGGGGCCCCCTTGTTAAAGGGGGCTTCCAGATTCTGATAAGCCCCCCGCCCGCAGACCCCCACAACCACCGGCCAGGGTTGTGGGGAAGAGGCCCTTGTCCTCATCGACATGGGGACAAGGTGTTTGGGGGGGGGAGCCCCCTGCCCCAAAGCACCCCCCCCCTGTTGAGGGCATGTGGCCTGGTATGGTTCAGGAGGGGGGGGGGGCGCTCGCTCGTCCCCCCCCCTTTCCTGACCTGCCGGGCTGCATGCTCGGATAAGGGTCTGGTATGGATATTGAGGGGGACCCACGCTGTTTTTTTTTAAATTTCAGCGTGGCGTTCCCCCTTAATATCCATACCAGATCCGAAGGGCTTGGTACAGATGGGAGGGGGGACCCACGCTTTTTTTTTTAATTATTATGCAATAAAGGAAATTATTTTACATTCAGCTGTCAGTGGGGAACCCCGCTGACAGTTGAAACACTAACACATGGTTGTCGCGCTCCTACAATCCCGCATGAGTTATGTTATCAACTCATGCAGCATTTTAGTAGCGAAAACCAATGCAGCGCTCATGTTTCAGCTGTCGGCGGAGTTCCCCACTGACAGCTGAATGTCAAAGTATTGCAGGGAATTATAAACAATTTT